GGTGGTCTTCCACGCTTAAGTCTTCCACATGACGCCCAAGCTTCATGCCTCTGGCGCTCAAGCGCCCAAAAAGGGGTGCTTGGGCGGTGAGCGACACTCTTCTACGCTCAGGCCTTAGAGATGGAGCCCAAGCCTCATGCTTCTAGCACTCAAGTGCCCAAAAAGGGGGGCCCAGGCGGTGCACGACACTCTTCTGGGCTTGAGCCTCCAAAAATAACGCCCAAGCCTCAAGCATTCCTCCCTTCTGGTGCTTTTCCAAGCCTTTCTAAGCCCCATCTCCTTGGCACTTCATCTCTGCTTTCCATATTATCTCATTTCCGACCAAAAAAGGGGAATTAGTCATAAAATCATCAATTTCAATCCCAACTATCTTATTTACACAACTTAACAGAAAAACATGATTCCAAGAAAGTTTCTAAGCAGTATTTTCAACCATTATCACAACCCCAAATTTAGAACTTTTCTTGTCTTCAAGCAAAACAGATTGTAACTCAACTTTTCAGAACAATCACTACAATGACTCAACATTTTTCAAAACTTTTTCTTCCAGGACAAGAGATTACTTTTATCAACTCAACATATAGATGTCAATCAAGATGAACAGATGCCTTAATTCAATCAAAATCAATGTGATGCTCATATACTTCAACAGATGCTATCCTTAAGAATGATGAATCAACCAAGCAAAGATGCAATCAGAAATTCAAAGAACTACTCCTCACCAAGGAAAGTGTTTCACTCAAGCACTCAAAAGTGTATTACTCAAGCACTCAAAAGTGTATCACTCAAACTCAAAGGTGTATAGTGAAGTGTTGGTGTCTTTTTCACTCTGCTATCACAATGTCACACAAATTAACTTTGTCTTTCATTTAACCACAATCAAACATACTCACAAGCAAGTTGTCATCACAAGGGCTTTTCATGACTTGTAACTTGGCTGTGCTAAGAAGAAAATTGGTTTTTCTGGTTAGCAAAATCCTTGAGTTAAGAGAAACATTTATGATTTCATCATTCAAGCACAAATCTCTTTTCTTTTTCCCATCTTTCCCTTGCATTGAGGTTTTATTTTCATCTTTCTTTTTCTTTTTCTTTTGCTTTTCATGTATTCACTACTTAGCTCAATGCTTTTTCTTTTCCTTTCTCAATCTTTCCAGCAATCCCAAACTTGAACCTTTATCAATACCTAACAAATGTTCTCAACTTAGCTCAAGGTAAATATTTTCACAAAGGGTTTTCAAAACATGCATATGGCTCAAGGTTCAAAGGGTAAAACAAATTATTTTCTTTTCAGTGGACAAAATCATGTGAAGGCTAAAAGAATAAGGGATAACAAAAGATGGCCTTGATTATATGAAAACTGCAAGCAAGTATCAACCACAGAAAATTTAAGCAAAATCATTGATGTTTCCAAAGTAATAGAAATTATTCACAACAACTCTGAAGCCCAAAACTCACACAGGTAAACTCTCAAGTCCTAGAATTCAGAAAAACACCCTACTTAGTATCTCAATGAAGTTTTACCTCAAGCACCTGTTTCATACACTGTGAGCCATCACCTGTATATTAGCACATCATACATCATCTCAACATCAATCAGCACACTAGAGCATCACAAAACAATACTTATCACAAAACACAACACATTTGAATCAAAGCAGTGTAGTTCATTCAAGCAAAGTATAATAACAAAAAAAATGATTAAAAGGAAAGGTTTAGAAAGCTGGGTTGCCTCCCAATAAGCGCTTCTTTAACGTCACTAGCTTGACACCATAAAATCAATTTGGATCAACCAACTCCATGACTGTGGACAGGCGTTCCACATCACCACCCAAATAATGCTTGAGACGTTGTCCATTGACTATCCAACTTCTTTGTGGGTCTTCAGAGGTTGGATTTGTCAACTCAACTGCTCCATGTGGAAGGTTATTCTTGATCATAAATGGACTAGACCATTTGGACTTTAACTTTCCAGGGAAAAGTTTTAGTCGTGAATTGAACAACAACACTCGCTGTCCAGATCTGTTCTGCCTTAGGCATCTAAAAGGCAGTTTAACAAAGCCTGCGTTGATCCATCTAGTAAAGAGCAACCAATTCAATGGACTGTCAAATGAAAGTCCATATGAGCATCTGACAACCTTTAATGAGATCTGTAATACTGTGAAGCTGAATGGAGTTCCTGATGATTCTATTAAACTGAGCTTGTTTCCTTTCTCACTAGGAGGCAATGCTAAACTATGGTTGAACTTTTTTCTGAAAATAGCTTGACTGAGTGGGAAGATGTGGTTGCAAAGTTCTTAAATAAATACTTCCCACAGTCAAAGATCAACAAAGGGAAGCAAGCAATATCTTCTTTCAAGCAAGGCATGGAGGAAACCTTGGGACAAGCATGGGATAAATACAAGAGCTTGCTGAGAAAGACACCTACTCATGATTTTGATGAAGCAACGGTAGTCATTTTTTTTCTTAGAGGTCTTGGTTCACAAACCAAATTGATGCTTGATGTCTCAACTAGAGGCAATATCAAATGTAAGACTCCAGAGGAAGCCTATGAATTGATTGACAACATGGCTACCAATGACAATGAGATGCACAGTGAAAGAGGAGCTCCATCACAATCTAAGGGAGTTCTACAGTTACAGTCTTATGATGCCTTGCTTGCTCAAAATAAGATTATAACTCAACAACTAGAGGTCTTGACAAAGAAGCTTTCTTAGCCACCAAAGGAGTGCCAGAATGTCTTACATGTTCAACAACAACTTTGCAAACTATGTGGTGGTGATCATATTAATGGCCAATGTGTTGTGCTTGAGAATCTCAATGAAGAAGTCAATTACATGGGCAACCAGTTTCGTCCCAACAATTATAATCAAGGGTGGAAATCTCATCCTAGCATGGGAGAAAGTCAGTTTGGGCAAATTGGTGGACAATTCAATAGACCACCACAGCAGCAACAACAACAGTGGCAACAACAACCCTCTCTAGCTGACAGAACTACAAAGCTTGAGATGACTCTCCAACAGTTCATGCGGTCAACTCTTTCCACCCAGAAAAGCACTGAAGCTGCTATAAGGAATCTAGAGATGCAGGTTGGTCAAATAGCCAAGAAGTTGGAAGAGATACCTATCAACAGTTTTGGGGCTAATGATGAAGTTAACCCCAAGGAAGAATGCAAGGTTATTGTGAGCATAGAAAATGAGAGGGAGAAAGACAAAGAAAAAGAGAGAAAAGAAAAAGTTGAGTTAAAAGAGAGAAAAGAAAAAGAAGAGAGAACAGAAAAAGAAAAAGTTGAAAAAGAAAAAAGAAAAGAAAAAGAAGAGAGTGAACAAAAAAAAAATTGAGAAAAATCTTCAATACCCTAAAGAGTGTTCAAGAAAAGAAAAAGATATGCAATTAGGGTATTTTGAAGAAATTTTTAGAAAATTGGGGATTAAAATTCCTATGACTGAGGCATTGCAACAAATTCTTGAATATGCAAAGTTTTTGAAGAAACTCNCTGCTTGAAGTGCAGATTTCTACCAATTGTTTGAGCTTTGTCCACTAATTCCTTGTGTTCAATCAAGTAAGTCATGCCATTTAGTGTTTTAAGTTCTAAAAAGTTTGATTTTTGAAGAATGTAGATGAAAAAGTTTGATTTTTTTATGTTTGGCACTATCTATGCATGATTTCCCACTATTTGGACCGATTAAATTGTGCTAATTGTGGTTTGGACTGATTTGAAACTAATTTGGCAATTGAAAAATACAGCAAGAACATGCTTGGCTGCACCGCGCGCTGCTCAAACGCCCCTGAGGGGCGCCCAAGCGGTGAGCGATAGTGGCTGTTTTTCCTGGTTTGTTATGTTCTGGCTGTTTGGTTCTATGCAAGTGATGTTGAGGGCTCTCTGTTTTGCCCTCTTTCTGAATGAGAAGAATTTGTTGATTTTTGGGACTAATGCTCGATGATATCTATGTTTGTTTTGTGAATCTCTATGTGAAGGAATGGCTTCATCTTCAGGAAAAAGGATCAAAACCCTAGGTACCAAAGACAAGGGAACAAAGAGGAAGGAGAAGGAGCAGTTCAATTCAAATAAGTTCAGAACTCCTGCTCATGAGAGATACTTCCCAGCTGTGGAGGGAAGGAGATTGTTGATGGAAAGGAAGGTGGCCAACATACCTTCTTTGGCTCCTCAATTTGAAAGGGAGCTGAACAATAGAGACTAGGGCCACCGGGCAACCTACCCCTCTCCTGCCAATGTAGACATCGTCAAAGAATTCTACACAAATGCAAAAGCATTGGGGAGGGGGAGAGAAGATGAGACTTACTTTAGCTACATAAGGGGTAAGAGGGTTGCCTTTGATGTTGACACCATTAACACTTTTCTTGGTGTAGACTAGGAGGGAGCGTAGTGCCAATTTGCCACGTCCATGCTAGAAGGAATTGACTATGAGGACGTGGAGCAGACTTTATGTGTGCTTAGAGGGCACTTTCAGAGGAACAGGTCTGGGTCACCCATTCACATCATTAGATCCCATCTGACGCCTCTAGCAATGTATTGGATGGCATTTTCTCATGCCAACATTCAGTCATGCTCCCATGTGTCAGACATCACTGTCNAACTCTTTCCACCCAGAAAAGCACTGAAGCTGCTATAAGGAATCTAGAGATGCAGGTTGGTCAAATAGCCAAGAAGTTGGAAGAGATACCTATCAACAGTTTTGGGGCTAATGATGAAGTTAACCCCAAGGAAGAATGCAAGGTTATTGTGAGCATAGAAAATGAGAGGGAGAAAGACAAAGAAAAAGAGAGAAAAGAAAAAGTTGAGTTAAAAGAGAGAAAAGAAAAAGAAGAGAGAACAGAAAAAGAAAAAGTTGAAAAAGAAAAAAGAAAAGAAAAAGAAGAGAGTGAACAAAAAAAAAATTGAGAAAAATCTTCAATACCCTAAAGAGTGTTCAAGAAAAGAAAAAGATATGCAATTAGGGTATTTTGAAGAAATTTTTAGAAAATTGGGGATTAAAATTCCTATGACTGAGGCATTGCAACAAATTCTTGAATATGCAAAGTTTTTGAAGAAACTCCTCAAAAGAAAGAAATATCTAGAGGACGAAACAATTGAGGTACAAGGAAAGTACAATGTAATCTTACAGAAGGCGCCTCCTCCTAAGATTAAAGACCCAGGAAGTTTCACCATTCCTTGCACTATCAAGAGCCATAAAATAGGGAAAGCCCTAATTGATTTAGGATCCAGTATCAATTTGATGCTCTTATCTGTTCTTGAAAAGATTGGTGGTCTTGAAGTCCAGCCTGCAAAGATGACTCTGTTTATGACGAATGGATCCACCGAAAAGCCCTCTGGTGTGGTGGAGGATGTGATGGTACAAACTGACAATCTCATATTCTTGGTGGACTTTGTTGTAATGGAGATGGAGGAAGATTTAGAAATCCATATTATTCATGGAAGGCTATTCATGAAAACGGCCAAGGTGATCATTAATGTTGATGATAGAACTATAACACTCAAAGATCGAGAAGATGAGGTGATTTTCAATGTCTTCAATAATGAGCAACAAATCCAAGTGAAGAAGACTAGTCTTAAAGCTGCATGTGGAGATGCACTAAAGATCAGTACTAAAGCCACCAAGCTAGACAAGAAAGGTAAAAAGTGTTTTTTGACACAAGTAAAGGAGAAAGAAAAAGACAGCAAAGGAAAAAGTGTTCATCAAGACTCCTTGGAGAAACATGAAGAATTCAGACCAGGCATTCCAGTGAGATTCAACAAAAAGCTGTGGGTTGTGAAAGAACTCAGAATGGATAGATTGATAGAGATTGAATCTCCAATTTCTAGGAGAATAAAAAAGGTGAACAGGAAGTTACTAAAGAACTATTGGTGTAGAGAAGAAAAAGATAACACCAAGATCAAAGATGTGACGTAAGCCATTTGGGTCAAGCTAGTGACGTTAAAGCTAGGAGCCAACCCAATGTTTTACAAACTTTTATTTTGTTCTTTAGTTTGGATTTTTGAATTTTATTTATGTTTGTTTTGTGTTTGTTTGATTTCAGTATGCTTAGTCTGTCATAACTAATTGTTTGAGGGGTAAAGAGAGAGTAATTGTTTGATTTGAGTGTGTTGTGAGGGCTAGGGAAAAGAAACTGGAAAATTCTAAGTTGAATATGAGAACCCAAGGCCAGGAATACCTAAAACAAGCCAAAAACCTAAGGGTGAATAGTGCCTCTCGCCGCTTGAGCCCCCCCTAAGGGGCGGCCGGGCGGCGCGACTACAGAATGGGTTTTATGTTTGGCGCTCAAGCGAGATTTCGGCGCACTTCATTCTTTTTACGCCCTAGGGTTCGCCCAAGCCTCCTCTCTCATATTTCCTTCACTCTAGCCTGTAACGCCCCCCGACAGCCTACAGGGAATGTCGCCCCCCACAGAAGCGCTTACTAGGAGGCAACCCAATGTTTTACAAACTTTTATTTTGTTCTTTAGTTTGGATTTTTGAACTTTATTTATGTTTGTTTTGTGTTTGTTTGATTTCAGTATGCTTTGGAAAATTCTAAGTTGAATATGAGAACCCAAGGCCAGGAATACCTAAAACAAGCCAAAAACCTAAGGGTGAATAGTGCCTCTCGCCGCTTGAGCCCCCCC